GCTCAGGGCTGGCTTCCCCCTCCCTCTGCCACAGCACCAGGGCCCTGTGTGGCTGCAGTCAATTCTGCCAACTGACACTTGGTCCTCTTGTCAGCAGAAGCCACTCCCCTTCTTTCACTTTGTTGACATGCAGAATTCTATTAGTTTTAATTTTGCCCACAAACAACTGTCGATTTTGCTTTCAGGGAAAGATGAAATGAGAAATAAAAAGTCTCAACTCGTAATAATTATAGAGAAAAATGGTGAAGTCCCTTTGACTTTCTTACTTCCCTTTATGTGAACCTCAGGATGAAGTAGAAAATCATGTCAGAGGGGCAACACAGACTATGCCCAGTAAAAACTATGTAATGACGATGTTGTTCTTTACATTTACAATGAAGCATCATGAATAATTAAGGAAAGAAGGCTGTTTCTCCATGACTTCGTAGCCAGAGCCTCACTGCCCTGCGTCCTGAGCATGAGACAGAGAGGAATGAACAGAGAAGCCCAAGAGAAACACACAGACTGAATGAACAGCTGAAGTTCACCAGCTTCTGTTCTACAAGTTTCTATTGAGAGACGTCATTGAATCGCCCGTGCCCAGCTGAGAAATCCTGAGCATAATGTGTGAAATAATTTAAACAGAGAATTTAATAATAGAAGCTGCACTTGCCAAATAAAAATTATTGGCCTCCTGAAGATCAATGATTGCAAATGGATACCTAATTCCCCATCTACGTAGACAAAATAAATGTTTGCTGTCAGCACTGACGGCTTGGGACACCACTGACACCTGGGTGCTGGCTCAGGAGAGGAGCCGGTCACCACAGAGAACAAGGGTCCTTCACACAAACCTTCCCGGGGTGGGGAGAACTGGAGGATCCTGATGATTATTTTGCCACAAAGACACAAGCCCCTCCACCTGGGGAGAATTCTAAGGACCTCAGGATGGGGTGAGCCTGTCCTCCATGGGGGGAGTCCAAGAGAGGCTGGGTTGAGGACACTGTCATTCCAGAGGCAAAGGGTGACTAGAGCTGATATCGGCCTCGTGAAGGGGGTGGTGCTGGGAACATATTACTATCTTGTTATGAGAATCTCCACACCTACAGCCACCAGCAAAGAACCTGGATTCCTGCCGGGGGTATTGGCACAGCCTGAGGAGCACTAACAACCAGTTACAAATGCTGGAAAGAAATGGCAATGTCTAGAGTCCTGACCTAGTGGCCCCCATGAAGCAGAACCACAGGGCCCTGCAGGAATGGGATCTAGAAGAGAAACATCCCTGAAACACAGTCACTAATAACCTCAGCCTCTGCAGTGAACACAACAGTAAATTACACTCAGTCCTTGGTTCTAACGAGATTATTTACCACCTGAGTCTGGTAAGTACCTGACAAATTACACAAGCCCACAGGGATGAGGGAGCCTGGCTCCCTGTGCAAAGTAAGCAGGGCACAAGGTTGCCCAGAATCACTGAGCATTTCTGTTTCTAAAGCAGAGAAGAGTTGTATTTATTCAATAAACACATATGTATGTGCATGTGTGTAAGTATTTACACATCTACCTAAACACTGACTTTAGGACAAAGACCTTTTCATTTGACTAAGTATCCACATGGACTGAAACATCTCAAGTTTGTGGGAATTTAAAAAGGAAATTAGTATTACAGATTGATGACATCTCCTTAGACCACCTAAAAGAAAACAAAAAAGGAAGGGAAAGTGGAAAGAAATGTTTAGAAAATGAAAATCGTTGTGTTCCCTATTTAAGGGCCATGCTTAGAAAGAAGGTCATTGCACAACTTTGGCCCAAGGTTGTTCACCAGACGCCCAGCTCAGCCAGGCCAGCAGCACCCTCGTTCGCCCATGGCCCTCCTGCTCTCTCTACTCACCGCCCTGGTGGTGTTCAGCGCTGGCCCCGAGGGAGCTCTGGGCTGTGACCTGCCTCAGGACCACATCCTGCTCAGCAGGGAGAACTTAGACCTTCTGAACCAAATGAGCACGATCTCCCCTGTCTTCTGTGTGAAGGACAGAAAGGACTTCAGATTCCCCCGGGCAACGGTGGATGGCAGCCAGGTCCAGAAGGCCCAGGCCATCGCTGTCCTCCATGAGATGCTCCAGCAGGTCTTCCACCTCTTGCCCACAGAGAACTCCTCTGTCACCTGGAACACGACCCTGGTGGGCCTATTGCGCTCAGGACTCCATCGGCAGCTGGAAGACCTGGAGGCGTGTTTGGTGGAGGAGATTGGAGAGGAAGGATCTGCCCTGGCCATGGAGGGCCCTCCCCAGGCCTTGAAGAGGTACTTCGAGGGCATCCATCTTTACCTGAAGGAGAAGAAATACAGTGACTGCGCCTGGGAGGTTGTCAGAGGGGAAATCATGAGATCCTTCCCCTCAATAACAGCCTTGCAAGAAAGACTAAGAAATAAGGATGGAGACGTGGGATCCCCCTGAAAGGACTCTCAGGGATGAATGTGCCACATCACGGTTGCACATCTGTCCTGGGTCATGTCCAAAGGCTCTCACATCTGCTCTAGTCACAGAATTTATTGAATTTTACTCAGGAAATCTGTTGTCAGAGTATTAAGTGAGAAAATGTTAGAAAATTCAGTTCCTGGGTCAACGGTCCCTGATAGGTTACTGCCTGAATGGTGATTTATTGTTATTTGTTTATTTATTTATTTATTCATTTATTCTTTCATCTTATATTTATGTATTTATATAACCAATGTTTGCTCTTATCTTGTATTAAAATTTACAAAACTTGTAACTTTTGTTATGAAATTTGCATTTTGTTTTATTCAATTCTTATCAAAGAAAACTGCTTTTTTTTTAAAAATATGTTTTATTTATTTCTTAAGAGAGGAAGGGAGAGGGATAGAGAGTTAGAAACATCGATGAGAGAGAAACATCGACCAGCTGCCTCCTGCACGCCCCCTACTGGGGATGGGCCCACAACCCAGGTACATGCCCTTGACCGGAATCGAACCCCGGACCCTTCAGTCCGCAGACCGACGCTCTATCCACTGAGGCACACCGGCTTCGGCAAAGAAAACTTCTTGAGTTTTTTAAATCAGAAAACCTAAACCCTTATTTTTTTAATCTATCTCAAAATAGTCCTCTTTTATTAAGTCCTTTAGAACAGTTCCTCCACTTCTCAGAAAGTGCCTGTCCAAAACTGGCAACCCATGGGATTGAGAAGAGTCCTGGCAAACTTGGAAGATGTTCAGGGATAATGTCAGAATTGTAACCGATTTCTATTTCGTCAGCAAGGAGAGGGTGGAACTATCTGGGAGGAGTCCAGTAGAGTGAAGAAGAAAAGATATACGGTATTGGTTGGCTGATACTGGCATCTGGTCCTCTTCCTACCAGTCTCCCCAGTCCTGCTGTACTGGATGTATTCATTCCCTTCCCTCCTCGCCCTCACTGCCTCTAGTTCTGTTGTGGTTTCCGCTTCAAGGTTTCTAAACAGAAGAAAAGCCAAAGGGAGGGAGCAAATATTGAGTGGCTGCTCTACGCTCTTCAAAACTGTTGTAAACACTTCTGTCTCTAGGAGGGCGCTGATGTGTGCTTCTGGGCCCTGAGCAAAAGCCAATGTTACAGTGATGACATCGATGCTGAAGTGAAAGGAATCAGCCAAAATCACATAACTGCGTGTGCGTGTTGTGTGACTGTCTCAGAGAGCAGGCAGGGAGATCAATGTGGGAGGATTTCTTGAATCTGTGCCTCAGATGATCTAGCCAATGCTTCGGTTTGCTTTTAAATAAATTGTGGGTACTATTTTAACATATCTTTATCCTTAATCTTTCTGTCCGATATTACTCTACTTCATGGACCAGTTTAGCAGAAGGAGAAAAACCTGGCAATTCAGGACTTTTTCCTTTGATTGCCTGTCACCTTTCCAATGGTATGATCCCTGCTACTTGTTTGCAGATTTAATGGAAGTCAACTGTGTTACCTTTAAGTTACAAAGAGGTTGTTCCACCATGTTGGAGTTCTGCTGGTTGAAACTGTGACCATCTGGGCTGCTGCATTTATGCTTCTCTAATTCCAGATACATTTTAAGGTGAAATTCAGGATGGCCGGTGGTTGACCGAGCCAAGTTGACACATAAAATTAACCATCACACGGACTGTCCTGGAGAAAGGATGCTCCGATGCTCAGCAGCCTCTTTGTTCCTAGGAAGAGGGAAACTCCTAGAATGTTAAGAGCTTAGACTACGGAGTCAGAACTCCTAGATCAGGGATGGCGAACCTTTTGAGCTCGGCGTGTCAGCATTTTGAAAAACCCTAACTTAACTCTGGTGCCCTGTCACAGATAGAAAGTTTTTGATATTTGCAACCATAGTAAAACAAAGACTTATATTTTTGATATTTATTTTATATATTTAAATGCCATTTAACAAAGAAAAATCAACCAAAAAAATGAGTTCACGTGTCACCTCTGACGCGCGTGTCATAGGTTCGCCATCACTGTCCTTGATTCTCAAGGATTGTTAGGAACTTGGGAAAGCTAATCTCCCTGTGGCTTCGTCTTCTTCTTCATAAAAAAGGGATAATGAAAGGAACCACATCTGCCAATTTGTTAACTCATGTACTAAAGTTAGAAGAACAGACTGGCACATGAAGGTGCTTGAGAAACACCTTTTTATACATGCACATATTCAAAGAAGTGTTCAAAGGAATGAACTATGAATTAATATGCTTAGAATAGTGCCTAGACCTTAGGAGGTGCTCAGTAATGTCATTCTTATATTTATTATTTAAAGTGGTTTTCAGAGACAAAGGAAGGGAGACAGAGAACAATATCAATGTGAGAGACATATATTGATTGGGTTCTGCTTGCAGCTGACTAGTCCGGGACTGAACTTGCAACCTAGGTACATGCCCTTCAGCTGGAAGCAAACTCTTGACCTTTCCACGGGTGGCTCAACACTAACCACGGAGAGACATCGCCCACCTCTATGTCATCCTGAACAGTAATGATATTTCCTAGTAGATGACACAAGGTGCTGAATGGATTCACTAATCATATGAAATGCACAGTGAAAATGAGTAACATCCATTATTTTGCTAGAGAGTATTAGTAATTGGGTGTTCTTAAAGTGAGTCTTTTGTGAGTTGATTGGTATGATTGCCATTCCTTGTTCCCAACTGATTACATCTGGGAAAAAATGAAACAATAATCATGTGGCTCATTCTGCAGAGCTGAAGGTTGGCCATGGGACAGAAGTTACTCTCCTTCATCCCCCAGCCAGGGAAACAGCTTGTGCTCTCTCTCTACTCCTACTGTGCCCTTCATCCTCCCTTTTGCTATAAGTTTTGTTACATTGAATTTAGCTAAATTATTGTTTTCTTATTACAAGGTCAGCCATTATGTTCTATTCAAGGCCTTCAAATGGTAGGTGAGGTGGATTCATATTAGGGACAACAATAGCTTTTCTCAGTCCATCTACTTAATTGTCTATGTCAGACCAAAACACCCTCACAGACACATTCAGAAAGTTCGACCAAGTAGCTGGGCAGCTCATAATCCAATCCAATTGAAACATAAAATTAATCATCACAAGGATCTAAGATAAAATACTGTAGCGCCTAATGGAGTTCTAACCCTGTATCTCTATAACCCCAGATACTCCGTATAAATTGGGTTTTGTCATTTCTACCTGACATAAAGCCACGTGGGAACATTCTCTGCAATACCCCGTGAGTGATTTAAGGGTTTATTTATTTATTTTTCTCTTTCTTTTGTTTAAAAAATGTCTTGGGGAGACACTGATTCATAGGGTCATATAGGATCAGGTGTGGATTTGTTACAAGATCTGTATATTGTACTGTACGCACACCCGCCAAAGTCAAATCCTCTTCTGTCACTATAAGTCCCCTTTCACTCCCCACCCTTCCGCACACTCCCCTCTGGCAACCACCACACTACTGTTTGTGTCCATGAGTTTAGTTTGACATCCCACATATGAGATCACATGGTGCTCAGCTTTTTCTGCGTCACTTATTTCATGTAGCATAATATTCTCAGGATCCAGCCAGGTTGTCCCAAATTTCAGTATTTCATCTTTTCTTATTAGTATTCCATGGTGTCTATGTTCCACGTCTTCTTTCACCAATTCTCTATTGAAGGACACCTTGGTGGTCTCCATGCGTTGGCCACAGTGAATAATGCTGCAATGAACAGAGGGGTGCATATCTCTTTGTGAATCATGTTTTTGAGTGTTTTCAGGTATATACACAAGAGAGGGATTGCTGGCTCATATGGCAGGTAGCTCTAGTCTTCATTTTGTGGGGAAATCGCCCGACTGTTATCCATAGTGGCTGCACCAATATTCCCAATGAATGAGGGTTCCCCTTACTCACAACTTCTCCAACACTTGTTATTACTTTTCTTATTGGTAATAGCCATTCTAACTGATGTGACCTGGTGTCTTGTAGTTTTGATTTGCGTTTCCCAAATTGCTAGTGACATTGAACATCTTTTCATATATCTGCTGGATGTTTGTATGTCTTCTTGGGAGAGACGTCTATTCTGGTTCTCTGCCCATGTTCTAGTTGGGTAGTTTGTTTAGTGTTGAGTTTTATGAGTTCTTTATATAGTTTGCATATTAAACCTTTGTTGGAGCTATTGTTTGCAAATATTATCTCCAGTTCCTATGTTGCCTCTTTGGTTGTCAGATTCTTTTGTTTTTCAGAAGCTTGTTGTTTGATATAGTCCCATTCATTTATTTTTGTCTTCACTTCACTTGCCTTTGGAGTCAAGTTCATAAAATGTTCTCTAAAGCCAAGGCCTATACATTTAGTACCTACGCTTTCTTCTATTGATTTTATTTTTTCAGATCTTCTATTTATGTATTTAATCCCTTTTCAGTTAAGTTTTATTCATGGGGACAAACTGAAACCCAGTCCCATTCTTTTGCATGTGGCTTTCCAATCATCCCAGACCATTTATTGGAACAAGTTTTCTTTTGCTCTATGGCGGTTATATTACCAAATAATCAAATTCTCAGGAAAGAAAGAAACGAAACCAAACAATCCCATTTTACCATAGTGTCCCAAAAAATTTAAAGAAAACCTAGGAATAAACTTTAACCAGGGGAGATAAAAGGTCTTTACCACTTAGAAGACTATTTGAACCAAAAAAAACAAAGGAAGGTATAAAAAAAATGGAAGAACATACAGTGTTTATGGATTCGTAGAATTAACATCATTAAAATGTCCATACTACCCAAAGAAATCTATAGATTCAATGCAATCCCTACTAAAATACCAACAGCATATTTCACAGATCTAGAAGAAATACTCCAAAAATGGATAATTAACAAAATAAAACCTCAAATAGCCGCAGCAATAGTGAGGAAGAAGAACAAACTTGGAGGAATAACAACACCAGATATCAAGTGATACGGCGAAGCCACTGTAATCTTAACAGCCTGGTACTGGCACAAGAACAGGCATATAGATCATTGGAACAGAACAGAGACCCCAGAAGTAAACCCATGCGATTATGCAAAGTGAATATTTGTTAAGGGGGCAAGAGCATACAATAGAGTAAGACAGACTCTTCAATAAACGGTGCTGGGGAAATTGGACAGCACAGGTTACACCGAGATCAGTGTCTGGCTCATGAACGGGAGGAATCTCAGAGCCCACTCTGCAGAGAACCAGCTCTGAGGAAAGGCTCCTGACAAAACACTGCTGTTCTGTGAGTGGGAACAATGAGCTCAATAGTCCCCTCTTCCACCCTCGGAGGCAGACCACCTCTGGGGGTGTTATTTGAGGCTCAGGAGAACATAAACAAACAGGCAAGCAAGAGGCAGAGGGTGATGCTGGTAAGAATTGGGACTTACCTAGGTTTTCAGCCCTTGAAGATCACAACACTCATTCAAAAGCTCTTTCCTGGGTTAGCAGAAGGGAGAGTACTTCCCTCAGGCACAGAGTTTAAGAAGGACTCACATCTGAGTCATCAAGACACATAATACTTCCAGGCAATACGAAAAAATGAATTAATGCAGCACATCCATGGTGAACAAAATGTCAACATTTTAGAGACATGAAATGGCCTTCCACTTGCAAGTCCTCAGAGGCTTAAGAAGGGAGGGGAAACGGTGCAAATATAATTTTAGCAAGTTCCATTCAGTCTACAAAATTAAACCAAAGAAAAGGAAAAGATCTGACCTGCTAACTGTTCTCTGCAGCCTGTACACAGCACCAAGTTTTCCTTTTAACGATTCATTCAAGGTGCAAACCTGTGAGGACCTTTCAGTAAAGTGAAGTTAAAGAAAAAGGATTCACCATTGTCAAGTGGTTACAAGAAACTCAACAAAAACAAGTAATCCCTTTTATAAAAAATAATGTCTTAAATAAAATACTTTCATTGATTTCTGAACGGAAGGTAAAGGGAGAGACAGATAGAAACATCCATGATGAGGGAGAACCATTAATGGGCTGCCTCCTGCAAGCCCCACCCGGGAGCTAGCTTGCAACCAGGACCTGTGCCCAGACCAGAAATGAAACCAGGACTTCCTGGTTTCATAGGCAGAAGCTCCAGTGCTGAGACAGGCAGGCCAGGCTGAACACAAGTCATCCTGACAATACTAAACAGTGTTTGCTTCCATTCCAGCCAAGACAGTAAAACTATATCAAATCCTTGTTTGGGTACAAACAAAATACAGTTGAAATAAACTGGAAGTTTCATACATGGAGTTTTTATAGTCTGAATGGTAAAAATTAAAACATTTAAAATTTTCAGTTAGCCAAAACCGGTTTGGTTCAGTGGATAGAGCGTCGGCCTGGGGACTCAAGGGTCCCGGGTTCGATTCTGCTCAAGGGCATGTACCTGGTTTGCGGGCACATCCCCAGTGGGAGATGTACAGGAGGCAGCTGATCGATGCTCCTCTCTCATCGATGTTTCTAACTCTCTATCTCTCTCCCTTCCTCTCTGTAAAAAATCAATAAAAAATATTTTAAAAAAAGAGTAAATTTTCAGTTAATAGTTAATATTCGATATATAAGTATTTTAAAAATCCTAATAGAATGCTGTCTAAAGATTAAAATATTTTAACTATTATGTGGATATTTAAATCAATATTTAAATATTTTTTAAAGTTTAAGAGAATGTGTTAATAGTTTCCACGTTTAAAATATATTTAAAATTTACAGCGATATTTATTTCATACTAAACTATTTTAAAAGTTTAACTGGTGCTTGAATATAAAATATTTCTTGCCGAAACCGGTTTGGCTCTGTGGATAGAGTGTCGGCCTGCAGACTGAGGGGTCCCAGGTTCGATTCCGGTCAAGGGCATGTACCTGGGTTGCGGGCACATCCCCAGTAGGAGATGTGCAGGAGGCAGCTGATCGATGTTTCTCTCTCATCGATGTTTCTAACTCTCTATCTCTCTCCCTTCCTCTCTGTAAAAAATCAATAAAATATATATTTAAAAAAAAAAAAAGTTTAACTGGTGCTTGAATATAAAATATTTCTTAAACATTAAGCTTCATATTTATATTTAATATTAAAGTACTTTAATATTTTGAGTAGCTTCAGGAAGAGCCCTGTCAATGCTCGCACTTTCCAGTGTTTTTAACTTTACCCCATGGCTCCCTAAGGTTGTCAAGTTGAGACATCGCACAAAAGCCCCAAAGCTCCTGCAGAGCCGCCCCTCCCGCGGCCAGGCGCCCCACTCACCCCACAGCGTCCCCAGCGGGGAGCAGTCGCGCCCATCCTTCCCGCGTCCCGCTCTGAGTCTGGGGGCACCTCGCACACAAAGCGCCCCGATTCTGTGCAAACCCCCCAACACGCTCTCCTTCCATCCTCTGACCCCCCAGCACACGGATTCCCAGTGAAAAAGGCCTCGCTGGAGCTTCCTTGCAAAAGGAAAGCCCCACACTCCTGGGGAAGCGCAGAGAAGGCCCGGGCCGGGGCTGGTTTCCTGAGAACAATGTCCTCGGGAGGCGCAGGCAGAGCTCCTTCTTCAGCTGTGGCTGCGGTGCAGGAATGGAGGGTTTCACCTTCACTATTAAAGCAGCACCAGGCGCTCGGCAGGGCTGGCCAGCGCTTCTGTTCTCAGACCAGCCTGACTGCACTTTCCCCAAAAGCAGCTTCACTTAAGA